CAGAAAGGAAATAAAATAGTATTACAAAACTGATAACTAGATGAAAGTTATTATATGGAGTGTCTGAGTATCCTAAGGATAATTTAATGTACAAGTAAATGATAATTAAAAAAAAAAATGCACCTATGAAATAATTAATACTTAGAGAAATAGCAAATAAATTCAAAGGCTTATTTTTACGAACAAACCAACCAATATATCCAGAAGTGAAAAAAAAGCCTGAAATCCACATTACCAAAACTTCAATGAAATTAGGTGTCTCTAGTTTTAAATATCACTCACTGCTCTAATATGAAAAATTACCTAAATCAGAGAGTTAATGAACCTTTCCGTACCTATGTATGCTAAGTAGGCCAGCTAATTCATTTCTGAAGGGAAAACAATCTTGTGTTTTGACAGCAGAGGTGATAATGTCCCTCATTATGCAAATAGGATGGACCTTTATTAAAATGTTACTTGGAATATCAGACATGTCAGCTACTTTAATTCCAAAATTTTAATCTTATTCTTTAAAAATATATATTAGTTGAAGTATTACTCAGGATAGTTGAAGAAGAAAACAGTATTTTCCCTCATTTCGTTTCAACGTTAAGTTCGAAAAGGTTCTGACAAATTATTTAGGACTAGCAAATACATCCTTCCTCAGAAAAATTCTTGCACAAAAAGCCAAGCTATGTAGCATGGAATAATAGAGACAGATGATACTTTAAGAATATTTTGAAAAATATTTTCACAGTTTCAGTAATGCACCAATACCAGCTCCCTGGACTTTACAGTACAGGTTCTATCACAAAACTAAGGACAGGTAGATGCAATATATAAGAATACACAATGCAGTACACATTCTGCATTTCACAAAATGTCATAAATCCCAACATAAATTTCTAATGCATGCAAATAATTTTTAGCAATAAAAGAAATATAAGAAAATACAGAAATAATGTTCAGTCTTGTACTAAAGTAAAAGACGCACTTCTGTCCCTTTTTAACCCTTGCTTAACATATTTTTATATTTAAATATTTTAAACAAAAAAGCACAGAGTACTTTTAAATACAGGAGAGGGAAAAAAAATTCTGAACAAGAATGATTTTTTAATGTTTTTATGTTAGCTCCACAGTGTATTAAAAATATTGCCTGGGAAATAAAAACCCAGTAACTTTAAAACAGAAGCTGCTGTTCCCTGATTTATTTTAAGGCTGCAACCTCACAGCCAACCTGATAAATTCTCACAATATCTTACGTAACACTAAGCCAATGGCCTGGCCATTTAATCCATTATTTGGCTCTGATTCAAACCTGCTGAGGTAGAAAAGCTAGAGCTCACTCATTCTGATCTTCACTTCTCTCTTGATTTTCTTTACATGCATTATCTCAAGTGCTTCACCACTCTCAGAAAAAAAATGAATTAACAAGTAAGCAGTCCATCTGATCTTCTAAATTAGCCACTATGATATAATTAATCAGTCCAGCAAAACTAATTTTGAAGTATAATACTATGTTTCTGCACACAAATGCTTTTTTCTATTATTTGCTAGGCATATCTATATATGTCTAAATCATTACCATAATACAGAACACAGAACCATTCATGTTACCAATGTAATAAAGTATGCAGGCCGTACTTTATTTATTTTTTCTCTGCTTTTATTTGAAAACAGCTCAGCACTTGATCATCCTTGCAACAAAAAAAGTCCAAAACTTTGAAATAAATGAAATTGATTAAATGCATTTATAAAACTTTTTTTTTTTTTTTTTTTTTTTTTTCCAAACATCAGTCTTATCTGATATTCAGTGTTGACAAACAAACCCAGCCTATTTTTAGAAAGAGTTTTAAATTTCCTCGGACTGGGTTTCTTTCCTGTTTTTCCTATAGCCTTACCTCCAATACAAAGAGCAAGTTAGAATAGTGTTCCCCAAGCACATGTAGGACCCAAAGGAGTCTTAACAGGCTTTCTCTGTAACATTAAGCCAATACACTAATCCACAGCAAATGCATATGGAACAATTTCCTTGCCTTTCATTCAGCTGAAGCCAGTGGCACTATCGGTTTACACCACTGCGCCTGCCTAAACTCCTATTCACTGCAAGGTGGAAGGTCAGGGTGGACAGATTAGAGCAGTGGTGACAGGTTAGCAAGGATGAGAGCTGCTTGCCAGATCAAGATGCTGCTGCTGAGTGAGTTCAGTAAAATCACCAAATAATGAGAAAATCTACCAGGAAGGAAAAAAAAATCTTAATGGAGGAGCAGTATGTCGAGTCCCTCCCACACACTTACCAGTTCCACATTTAGGACTAGTTTTAAAACAACAGGAACTTTTGTAAACAGTTTAAAGTCACTTAAAATTCCTATGATCTACACAAAATTACCCTGAAGTAATTAATGCAACACTTGATGAGAACTTTGTTATTAATTTACCTGCAGTAATCCTCTAAGTACACTAGTTTTATTTTAAGAGGAAAAATAGATTCACAGGGAAATGAAGAAGAACAAGGATGATTTGGTTATTAAATATTATAATACAATCTGAGAGAATGTGAAGGAATCTGAAGAAGACAGAATGTGTTTAGTCGTACATATCCAAAGTACAATTTGCAATCAAACAGAATTTCAGTAAGTTGAGTTTACTTGCGTTGATGAAAAAATATCTTTCCTATTTGCTTATTGGTTAGTAGTCTAATTTAAAATGAAAGCACTTCAGATTTTTTTTTTTTTTTCCCAAGCAAATTTATTTCCTTTAAAAAAAAAAATCCTACTATTTTTACTGCTACTAAAAACAAACTAGGAATGCTGTGGTATGCTCTCTGTCTGTCTTACTGTTTTACAGATACATACATATCAAAACATCCCGCTTCACATGCGATTCTTACTCTGTGTTTGCCTATAGTTAGATTCATTTCATTAGTATACACATTTGCACATGTACATATATAAAGCAGATAGCTGGATTGATTCCAAATCAATTAGATTCAGATAAGTAAATCAAGACATCTGATTCAAGGGCTACAACCTTCAAAGGCCAGTGATTCATGAGTCAAACAGAATGTGAAGAACTCTGGAGACCAGCAAATTCCCATGGCTGCTTTAGGACTTTACCTATGTTCTCAATAATTTCTGAAGGTTTTGCAGGATTAAGGGTTACATATTAAGTATTTAAAGTTCCTGTTAACTGATAAATTGTATTTCCTTAATGGTAATAAAGAACACTTTAGAGAAGTTGACAGTACTACAAAACTCAAACAGTACTGCAGGATTTCATTATGAAAGAGAATCTAAAACGGAACTGAAAATAATTCCAGAAGTTTTGTTGAAGTAACTTTTCACATTAAAAAAACCTTCCAACATAATGACATGGTTACATGCAAACAAATTGCACTTATTGAAACACATAGTTACAGTCTTCAGCATTCTTCCTTTTTGCAAACCCAAACATAAAAAAAAAAATAATAAAATTTTAAAAAAATAAATCAGACTGCTTACAAAAAGAGGAACCTCATTTTTGGCGGGCTTCAGTTCACTATATGATTTGGCAGAGAGGCAGTCGTAGCTGACAGAAGACAGATCTGAGCCTTGAGGAGGGAAAAGAGCTAATGGACAAATGCAGCAGATGACTTGTACATTCACACGCAGACGTACACAAGCGCACACTCACACATGCACACCCGCTATCCCTTCTCTGCAGCTCAGAACAATCTTGATAGAATGGCAGGAAACACGCACAGAGTGGTCAGGGAAGGATATGATGTCAGCAACCACGAACAATAAAAGGTGTAAAGGTGCTTCCTTCCCTAAACTGTTCCAGAAGTGCAAAATGGGAACCAAAACTCTCCACTTCCTTCTCCTAGCAGAACTGTCTGAATCTGCTTTGCTGCAACACCCCAGACAGAGAGTTCTTTGAACAAGTCACACCAGGGGCAATAAGCAGTATCAAAACAGGAGAGTCAAAATATTTAGTTTATAAACAAGAAGGCATCCAGAGGAAAACTAAGTTAAAATGTGCTAGGGTTTACCATTTTCATGGTTGCTTTACAAAAGAAACAAACTTGCCATAAAGATGTCCCTGTGCCATTAAGCAGCTTGCATTCTGAGAAGATTAATTAAGCTAAAACTAAAAAAAACAAACAATCTTTTTTCTTCATCCTGATATAAGGAAGCAAAAAAAAATGTTGTCCCCCTTTTCTTACCATTCTTACCTGGATAAATAAAAGTAACTTCAAAGATCTGTGAAATCTTTTTATGCAAGCTTTTCTGTTCTCTCAAAGGAGTTTTGAATCAGATTCTAAACATCTAAATGTACTGAGGAAAAATACAACAGGTACTTTAATGGAAAAAAAAAAAAAAATACAGCTGTAAAAAACTGCAACCTAACTGTGAAACTCCACAGTGGGGAACACATATTCAAATAAAACGGTCACTGATACGTTTTCTGCAAAAGCCCTAGCTGACTATGTTTCATATACAGACAAAGACAGCCATACAGTGAAGAAACAGCACACTGCATCAAATAAAGATACCAATAATTTGGGGTCTGCCACCTTGAGCTGGCTAAAGTTGAAAGAAATACAGAAAAGGGGAAAAGCAGTGATCATCTCTTATGTTATCTGACTGAGATCATTTGACATTAAAGATAGAAATGGCCCTTCACATTCAATGCGGTTTGGTTGCACGGTCATTAGAGAAGACAGAGTTTGGGCCATTAACAGAAAAGTTAGGATAAAATTATATATGTCATCACCACAGCAATATATCCGTAAAGCAGAAATAGCATGAACTACAGTATGGCTATCCAGGCAGAAAGCCATGTAACAAATGAATCTGAGTCATCGTAAGGTTTCAAACATCTGTCCA